TGACTGGGGTAATCGGGATGGGTGTGTCAGAGACAGTGTGGTTGGCGCAGGACAGAGCAGGGTTTAGGGCTGTTGTACATAGGGTCGCTATGAGTCATAAACTACTTGACGGCACATAACAACAACAACAACAACAACAGTTTGGGAAGGACTGGAGAGTATTATACTGAGTGAACTTAGTCCCATAAGGATAAATATTGTATAAGACCATTACTACAGAATGTGTATGAGGATCCAAGGAGGGGAGCAGTGGAGTGAGGTTTGGGTGGCAGTTAATTTTAGGGTCACACTATTTGAGGATGAAGGGGGTGAAGGAAATGGGAAAGATCTGGTGTGAAAAACAAATTATACAAACTTTGTAAATAAACCAGTATAAAATTTAAAAAAAAATTGAAAGTTAATAAAAAGGATATCACACCAAATACTCATTTCCCATTAATTGCCAATAAATGAAAAAGAGAAGAGAAAAAATAGAGAAAGACAAAATAAGAATTGACTCTTTAAAAAGTCAGTGCACCCTCCCAGGATCGCATCTGGAGAATGGCTAGTATTCTCCCAGCTTAGGACACGGGAGGGAAAGCAAGCCGGTCAGAGAGCCATTCCATTCCCAGTTGGTTCAGTAGCTGGTGATTGGAAGATACTCTGCAACAGTATTCAGGACCTAGTCCGGCAAGCCACCTTCTAAGAGGCTTCTAACACACAGCTGTCTTCTTTCTTGAAGGCATAATAGCTGCCCTCAGACCCCTGGTGAAGCCAAAGATCGCCAAAAAGAAGATCAAGAAGTTCATCCGCCACCAGTCAGACCGTTATGTCAAAATGAAGCGTAATTGGAACAAGCCCGGAGGCACTAACAACAGGGTTTGGAGAAGATTTAAGGGCCAGATCTTGATGCCCCACATTGGTTACGGGAGCAACAAGAAGACAAAGCACATGTTGCCCAGTGGCTTCTACAAATTCCTGGTCCACAGTGTCAAGGAGCTGGAGGTGCTGCTGATGTGCCACAAATCTTCCCGTGCTGAGATCGCACACAGTGTTTCCTCCAAGAACCGCAAAGCCATTGCGGAAAGAACAGCCCGGCTGGTCATGAGAGTCACAAATCCCAATGCCAGACTGCACAGTGAAGAAAATGAGTAGAAAGCTTGTTTGCACATTTTAATTGTGCTAAATAAACCATAAAAACTGAAAGGAAAAAAAAGGTCAATGCAAGTTGACCAATCTTTGTATCTGCCCACACACCAAATCCATTGCCATCTGGTACGTTTGACTCACAGTGATTCTACAGCACAGAGTACAGTTTTCAGGATTGTAAATCTTCCTTGGTATTCGAACTACCGACTGTGAAGTTAGCATCACAGCATCACCAGAGCTTTTAGTGATACTGTTGTTTACCATTGAGTTGGAACTGACCCATAGCTGACTCGCCAGTGGGCTTTCAGAGGCAGTTAATTGTATAGGAGGAGATTGCCCATCCTTCTCCTACAGAGCAGATGTTGGATTCGAACCTCATTGCCTTTCGGACTGCAGCACAGCTTCTTACCACTAGGCCAGTTCTTCAAAAAAAGCAGCAAAAAAGGAATACTTCCCCACTTATTGTATGAAGTCAGTAAAACTTTCTACCAAAACCAGACAAAGCCATCATAGGAAAAACAAACTACAGAGCAATATGATTTACAAAGACAAACGCCTCAACAAAATATGAGCCAACAAAATGTTAGAAATAAATGAGATGTGAGGAGGAAGGTAGGGTTAATCATGGGGTTGTACAGTTTGATGGGTGGGAGGGTGAGGGAAATTGGAAGAATCTGATCTGAAAAACAATGTATCCAAATTTTGTAAATAAAGTATAAAAATATTAGAAGGGAAAAAACAACAAAAACACAGAAAATAAAAAAATTATTATACAAAATGACTAAATTGTGATTTATTTGTGGAATACCTTGAAAATCAATCACTAGTCATAGACTTTTTATAGACTGAAAAGCACAATGTCATCGAAATAGACGCAGAAACAAATTTTGACAAAATACAATACCCTTTAATCATTTAAACAAAACAATCTCTCAATAAATTAGGAAGTAGAAGAAAAATTATGTCAACTTGATAAAGGGGCATCTGTGAAAAACAACTACACGTATAATATTTTTTTAAATGAAATGGTTCATTTTAATTCTTTTGTTCTTCAAATGCAATGTGTTTTTTAAAAACACTAGTTGATTTACATTTGAATACATTGATTTTGAGAACAGATTCTTCCAATTTCCCTCACCCCCCCATCCATCAAATTGTACAGCCTCATGATTAATCTCCCCTCCCCCTGCACATCCTCATCCCTCTGCTTCCACCCTCCTCCATCCCCCTTGGATCCTTATAGTTTTTCTACAATAATGATTTTATACAATATTTGTCCTTGTGGGACTGAGTTAGTTCACTCCGCATAATGATCTGCAGTCCCTCCCAAGTTAGGTAATAATTCACAAAGTCATTGATCCTGCATGCTGTGTAGCATTCCATTGTGTGAATGTACCAAAATTTCTCAAGCTATTTGTTTGTGGTTGGACATTTGGTCTATTTCCATGTTCTTGTGATGGTAAATGATGCTGCTATAAACACTGTACAAATCTCTGTGCCTCAGTTCTCATTTTCTCAGGGTATATTCTAAGTAGTGTAATAGCTGGGTCATATGGAATTTCTATATTCAGCACCAAATTGCCTTCCAGAATGGTTGTACCACTTTACAATACAGCCAACAATGTACAAGAGTTCCTTTCTCACCACATTTTCTCCCTTTATAACTTGCTGCCCTGTTAAACTTTGCCACTGTTACTGAAGTGAGATGGAACCTCATTGTAGTTTTGATTTGCTTTTCTATTATTGCCAGTGATTTTGAACACTTCTTCATATATCTGTTTGCCATTAGACTCTTCCTCTGTGAAAATTCTTTCCATGTCTTTTGCCCATTTTGTAGTTGGATTATCAGTCTTTTTCTTGGGAAGGAGGTCCAGGAGTTTCTGTAAACTTTTGTTATTATATTCTTGTCTGAGATGGTATTACCACATGTTTGTTCTTTAGAAGGTCCCATTCATCAATTTTATCCTCTTCAGATTATGCATTTCTGGCTGTATCTGGCAGTCTCTTTATACGCTGGACTAGTGCTTCTCAGATTGATCCCAGTTTGTCTCTTAAGACTTGATGCATTTTCCCAACATCAGAAACAAGATAAGAATGTCTGCTTTCAACATTTCTATTTTACTTTGTCCTGGAAGTTCTAGCCAGGGTAATTAGGGAAGAAAGAAGAAATAAAAAGGCACCCAGATTTTTTAGGGCAGAGTCTCTTTGTAGGTGATAAGATCTTATAGTCTAAAGAATTCTTTAAAACTCTATTACAACTAATAGACACATTTGGAGGACACAACATCAATATACAAAATGTTATTTTTATACACTGTTTTTGTTGTGTGTTGTTGAGTCAAAACTGACTCATAGTTGACCGTCCAGTGAGTTTTCAGAGGCTTTAAATCACAAAGGAGATTGCCCACCTTCTCCTGTAGAGCAACTGTTGGATTCAAACCACACACCTTTGGGTTGGCAGCACAGCTCCTCTACTACTAGGCCACCAGAGTTCCCTAAACACTAGCAATGAGCAATCCTAAAGTGAAATTAAGAAAACAATTCTGTGTAGAGTAATACATATATAAAAACAACACACTTCCAAACCAACCTAGGAACAAATCTAATAAAATAAATCTAAGTTTCAAACACTGAAAACTATAAAAGATCAATATCTAAGTAAATAGGAAATCACAAACAATTCATGTTCATGAATGAGAAGACTTGATAATGTCAGTATGGCACAAGACCCTAAACTGATCAAAATATTGAACTCTATCAAAACTGAAATTTCTGCACAAATTGACAAGTGAGTCCTAAATTTCACTGGGAAATGCAAGGGACCCAAACAATAGTCAAAACAATCTTGAAAAACAAGTACAGCATAGTATTCACATTTAATAGTTTAAAAACTTACTTCAAAGCTCCAATTATCAAGACATACTGGTACTGTCCTAAGGCTAGACAATAGTCCAATGAATTAGAATCATGAGAGAGAAATAAACCCTTACATTTGTGTTGAATTGATTTTCAGCAAAGATCCAAAACAATTAAAGGAGGGGAAAGAAAAATGGCTCTGGGACAGCTGGAAGGCTGTGTGCCAGGAGGAGGCCAGGAAGTGTGAGCACCACTCAGGTCAGGAAGCTGGGGTGGTCCAGAGTCCATGGGCAAAAAAATCAATGCTAACCACTACCTCATGCCGCATATTAATTTTTGACTCATGTACTTTTAACTTGTTAGTTATATTTGTGTCTTCTAGGCTGCAACACCTCCATGATACATCTTCAAGGATATGAACATGTACGGC